TGCTCTGCTGTGCTTTTGGTCAGCTGTGCTCGCTACAGGGCTTACAGGCCTTCACCAGGGACTGGAAGGCCTTCCAAAAGGAAGGTATCTGGGTACACAGTGTGCCCCCACCTCGGTGCATCTCTCCCTGGTTCCGATTCATGTCACCCACACAGGCCCAGGGCCCTTGGGGGGCCACACACCATTTGGAGTGGTCTTCTGTAGCACTGAAACTTGGTGCAGACGGGCCAGGAAAGCCTGTCTGAGCCACATCAAGAACCTCATGGGTCCCGGAGCAGTTGGAAGACAGGGTGCCGTGAGAATTTGGCCAGAACTGGACCTGTAGGTTGGTGTCGAGGGCTGCCGCCAACCAGCCCGAGTACAAGTCTGCAGAGGGAGGAAAGAGCAAGGGGAGGAGGTCACTGCAGGTTCCTCAGGCCAGTTCCTCCCGGGAGCTCAACTGTCTGTTTTTAGAGTGACGTGAACCTTTTAGCCCTTATCAATATGTCAGGTCACATCTGCAAATTCTAACACTCAGAAAGTCGGAACAAGAGGATCTCAGATGGCGTCTAGCCTGCAATGTACTGTGAGAACTTACCTCAAAACAAAAAAATAGGCTGGGCATGGTGGCCCAAGCCTTTAAAAATCAGAACTCAGGAGGTAGAGACAGGTGGATCTCTGTGAGTTCCAGACCAATCAGGGATACACATTGAGACCCTGTCTCAAAAAAAAAAAAAAAAAAAAAAAAAAAAAGCAGTCCTTATCAAACGATTTCACAGCCCTCTAAGGGAAGCATCAATATCCTAGTGTTGCAGATGAGCAGACAGGATCAGGTCATATCACATTGCCCACCCAGAAACCAGTATTTGGATCTAGGTCTGCTGGCCGATCTCGAACTCTTGGCTTAGCCTCCATAGAGCTGGGATTACAGATATGGACCATCTGCCCAGCCGGCCTGCTGGCTGCTAGCTACTCATGGCTGTTACTGTAATATGAATCCCAAAGACGTCTGTGCTCTAAATGTGACTGGCCCTCAGGCTTGGGGATATCAGGGACCTCCCTCTACAAAGAAAGTGCTCTTTACCCTCAACACCGGGACTCACCATCTCCAAATTTTCCAGATTTGGCAAAGCTCCAGAAGGAGGCCCCTGCTTGTGAAGTGAGTGCTACACTGTTATTCCAGGGCTCATGGAGGACATGGTGGCCCTTGATCACCTCCTGGAGGTCAGGTAATTTCTGGGCAAAGATGCCTTCCAGCTTGTGGTCATAGACCAGAGGATAGGTATAGGTTAGCTGCCTGCCTGGAAGACAAGGTGAGGAAAAAATGTGACTGGTTATTCCAAGCAGTTGAGATGTAAACCACCTCAACGATTCTACTCACCAATCTTGAGAAACTGGGTGAAGGGAAAGGACACACAGAGTAGGGTCTGGCCATAGGTTCGAGCATTAGGAGGCCAGCTGTATGCACCAGAGGATGCAGGGGGTGGGAAGCGTGGCACACTGTGGATCAGCCAGAAGCCTCCTTCTTGGTCAAGGAGCAGAACACCTGAACCAGAAGAGGGAGGTCAGAGAAGCTGCTGAAAGCTGCCCCTCAAGCCAGCTCATCTGCAGCCAGGTGCCCGGTCTAAGGTGGCTGGAGTCTCAGGTACGGGCAGAAAACCGAGGCCAAGGGTTCGATGGGGCACATCCCCCACTCTTCATGCAAGTCGAAGGTTGGTTTGGGTAAATTGACAAGAAATTCGGGGCAGCTCCACGGCCACCAGTTCATGCCTCACCCTTTGCATGCCCACGGCTGGAAGAGTCCCAAGCTGAGCTGGATTTAGGAGGCTGGTCGTTGTAGAGTAGAAAGGCCAGCTGGGAGAATGCAGAGAGGCGACATTAACTATCCTCCCTTCCCCGTGGGACCCACCACAGTGACCCAGCCCGGGTTTCCACAGCACCCAGTCACCTGGCTGGAGTTGTCTCGGTACAACGGCAGCAGGCTGCGGCCCACAGCTCCCTCTGAACTGTTGATGTACCCCACACCGTCGCGCCAACCCTCGGAGCTCTGGTCCATGTATTTATACTTCAAACCCTCCCATGAACTATCCCCAGACCCGCTGTGAGCTGGCAGCTTGTATACCACGAACCTGGAGGTCAGGAAAGACAGGAGATGGGGGGAGGGAAGGGATCTGAGCCGAAAAGCGCTTCCACCCCAGTGCCCGCGCCGGTGCCCACGCAGCAGGAGGGGGACAGTCCGGCAGCTACTCGCTCACCAGTCCACCGGCCGCCCGGAGTCTCCATAGCAGCTCAGGGCTTCGGCAGGGACCCAGAGCAGCGCGGCCAGCAGCAGCGAGCTCGGCGCTGCCATGAGGCGACCGCGACGGAGTCTGTGCAAAGACCCAGGATGGCCGGGTCACGAGGCCCAGACTCACTTCCCCATGAAGTCCGCTGAGACCGGTCGGGGCTTTCAGGGCGACGCCCACGAGGCCTGGAGGCCCTAGAGCGCCGGAGGCGGGGCTTCCTTTGGTGCGGTCCCTCCCGCGGACCCCGCCCTCCTGCTTCTGGCGACTCAGCTCCGGATTGGCTCCACCCACGGACACGCCCCGCCCTTAGGCATGGGCTGTCAGATGATTGCTCTAAGGCTCTCCAATTTCTGAAAATAATTTCCCCCATTTCCGCTGTACAACTCAGGTACATTTTGTGAGGTAGGTATCTCTGTCTGTATGTATCATTTGCGTGCCTGGGCAGACCCAATTCTTCTTTCCCTTTCTCTTTTTGTTTTGTTTTTATTTTTATTTATATTTTGTTTTTTTGAGACAGGACTTTACTATGAACACACAGGGATCTGCCCCCCTTCTGCCTCTACTTCTGGAAAGTTTGTTTTAAATGCATGCACCAATCACCCCTGTCCTTTTTTCCCCCTCTGACAGTTTTCTGATTCCTTCTTTGACCTTTTAACACTGTGGTTGACCCTTGAACTCCTGATCTTCCTGCCTCTACCATCCAAGTGCTCAAATCACAGAGATACTCGACCACATTGTACATACGTGTAAGTGTGTGGGCACATAACAGGGCACGCAAGTGGAGGACAATCTGTGGGAGTTCCCCCTTCCGCCGTATGGGATTTGGGGATCAAGCTTGACGTCAGGCACCTTCACAGGCTGAGTCATCTTATTGGCCCTCCTTTTTTTGAGGCAGGTCTCATTGTAGCTCAGGCTGGCCTGGAACGCTCAACTCTTGTTCAGCCTCCTGAGTGAGTATTGGAATTACAAATATGAACTATGCTTCCAGCTTTTAAAATTTCATTTATGCGGATCTGTGTGGGCCCTTGTGAGCTTATATGTATACCATATGCAGGCTGGGCAGATGTTCATAGGTGTTAGATCCCTGGCGCTAGAGTTACAGGTAGTCGAAAGCACTATGTGGGTGCTGGACCTGAACTCAGGGCTTCTGGAAGAGCAGCAAGTGCTTTAACCACTGAGCCATCCCTCCAGTCACCACTCCTGCCTCTGCCTTTGTTTTTGACAGGCTTTCACTCTGTGGCCCAGACTAACCTCTAACTTACCATCCTCCTGTCTCCGCCTCCTGAGTGCTGGGATTCCCAGTGTGAATGGGCCGCCACAGGCAGCTGGGTCACCCCTGCTTGCTTAGGCACATTGCTTTCTGCGTCCTCTGTCCATTCTGCATGTTTTCTTGTCTCCCTGTGACACTGACTGTGGGGCTCACTGTGGACACTCACGTGGGGCTGTGGCAAGGCAGGAATCCGGGGACTGCTGAGCACTCTACCACACACAGATTGGCTGTGTCCCTCAGGACTTACCACCTGATCCTCCTGCTTCCACCTCCCAAATTTTGGGATTACCAACCTGTAGCACCATAGCCCTGGCTGGTCTGGAACTCCCTATGTAGACCAGGCTGGCCTCCAGCTCAAGAAATCCATCTGCCTCCCAAATGCTGGAACTAAAGACCTGGACCTGCTTCCCACTCTCCTCCCTCTCCCACGCACCTTTTTTAAAGACAGAGTCTTTATATTATGTAGCTCTGACTAGCCTCAAATTCAGATTCACCTGGCTCTGCCTCCCAAGTACTGAGATTAAAAGGCACGTTACCGCCTTTTGTTTTGTTTTTACTTTTTGAGTCATGAAGACAAAATAAATAAATAAAAATAAACAAAAAACAAACACTTGGGAGGCAGAGCAAGTGGATCTCTGAGTTCGAGGCCAGCTTGGTCTACAGAGCAAGTTCCAGGACAGTCAGAGCTACACAGAGAAACCCTGTCTCAGAGAGAGAGACAGAGACAGAGAGACACACACAGAGATGAAGAAACTGTCTAGATTGCCCAGGATGAACTTATTCTGTACAGGCATGTCTTGAACTTGGAATACTCCTGCTCCAGCCTTCTAAACAGCTAGGCTTACAGGCCTGAACTTCCTCTATGGCCTGCTTTGGTTGGGGCTTCTAAAGAGGAAATAGACAGGCATGGGCACCCACACCTTTAAAACCAGCACTCAGGAGGCAGAGGCAAGATGATAGGGTGATCTCTTTGAGTTTGATGCCAACCTGGTCTACAGAGTTTTAGGCCAACCAGGGCACATAGTAAGATCCTATCTTTTTTTTGAGCCTGTCCTGGAACTCACTCTGTAGACCAGGCTGGCCTCAAATTCACAGAGATCCACCTGGCTCTGCCTCCCGAGTGCTGGGACTAAAGGTGTGCAGCACCACGCCCAGCAAGATCCTATCTTAAGGGAAAAACAGGGGGATGGGGTGGGGAAGAGGCGGATGGCAGTTGTGAATGTTGACAACAGGTGACAGGATTGTGTAGACTGATCATGATGGAGGAGAAGGTCTACAAAGATGGCACTGTGGGGGGGTGTCGTCAGAAATGAATGAGTTTTAGGAGATTTAGGAGGTGAGTGTGTACAGATAGTGTATCACCTACTGGAGGCTCAATGCTCCTCCTAATTCCCAGCCCCATGTTACAGTGAGGCCGACACTGGTTTTATATGGGAGAATTTTATAGTACCCATGACAGTCCCAGCTGATAGTGTGAGGGCCCCTTCTAGACCCTGGGAAGCCTCACCCCACTCCACCTCCAAGACTCAGGGTAACTCCCGCACAGGTCTAAGGGTCCATCTGAGTTGATTTATTTGGTAGTCTGTCTTGCTGGGTCTGTGGGGTGATGTTTTTTGTGTGTCTCCCTGAGGAAGTGTGAGCATCCTCTCGAGGGCTCCTTTGGGTCAGTTCTTGATCTGGGTAGGTCTGTAGGGCTATATGTTGTCCAAAAATGGCCCATCCTTTGGAAGACAATCTTTGGATCCACTCATTTCATTCCCAGTCCCTGTGCAGGATCGGAGCTCAGAGGTGGCGCTTCATGTGCAAAGCTAAGTGGTCAGAGCGCGAAAAAGCACGTGGGCAGAGTCCGCAGCAGAAGGGTCGCTGGCCGGTGTGTTTCCGGTAGTGGCGCGTCAGCTCGTCAGAGCGAGCGAACCTCCAGCCGCAGCCATCCCAGGAGCAGGCATAAGGTTTCTCTCCTGAAGGACAGGGAGTTGTGAGTACCACCACACAAATCATCCAGCTCCAATTTGCACACTTGATGCGGTAGAGCCAGGCCTTAGGTGACTTAACTAGCTCGCGCAGTTGAAGAAGAGCACACAGTCCTGCCCTCTGTGACCCTGACCCTTTCCTGTACCTGCAGTTGCGGTCCTGCGGTTTTCTCATTTCCGGTCTCCTATCCCACTTCCTAAGTTCTCGTTCTCTGCCAGAGACCTTACGTGGCTGCACCGTCGTTCTTTGTTCTCAGCCTTCCAGCTGCCCCACGCACTGGCAGAGCCTCCTGCTCGTGTCCAGTCTTGCCCCTGAACTTGTCCAGGCCCTCAGGGTCCCCCCGGTGTCCAACGCCCTGTCTCTAGTGATTCTCCTTTCCCCTTCATACACCTGGTGTGTGCCCTGCCACGCTCGGGAGGCCCACAGCTGTCTTCCACTCCTGTTACCACCTGCTTTCTCTTCCTGTCCCCGGTCTCCCAGTATTTCTTTCTTTTTTTCTGGCCCGCTTTATGTCTGGGACCTCCATCAGTTGCCCGTGGAAATGATTCTACCTCCAGATCCCAGACGTGTCTATTCAGAGCATCCTGTGAAAACTGGCTAGACCCTGAGTTCTGGCATTCCAAGCTAGTACCCTCCTCGGGAGTCGCCCCTCTAGTTCCCTCCCTCTTGCTACACTCTCATCCTGCTTTCTGCTCCTCAGCCCATGTCTAACCCAGGTCATACACGTCAGCTTCTAACCCTGAAGACCCGAATGTTCCCCAGGTCTATCTATCTATCTATCTATCTATCTATCTATCTATCTATCTATCATCTATCTATCTATCTACCTACCTATCTATCTATCTATCTATCTATCTATCTATCTATCATCTATCTATCTATCATCTATCTATTTACCTATCTGTTTGTTATTGAGAAAGGATATTACTACGTAGCCCCGGCTGCTGGACTTCGCTATAATAGACCAGGTTAGTCTACAAGTGACTGATACCCACCTGCCTCTCCCTCCTGAGTGCTGGGATTCGCCCGGCCCCATTTGGGTCTAGAATTGCCCCTATAGGCTTTAGCCAGTGTCTCAGGGGCCCACTGCAGGCCCCTAGCTCTGGGGTCACTTTTAGCCACGCCTCTGACACCCCCTGACCCCCCCCTTCGCTCGCTTCCGGCTCCCGGGTCCGCCCCCACCCGCTCGGCTCCGCCCTTACCTGTGTGCGTGCGCAGGTGCGCCTTCAGATGCGAGCTCTTGGTGTAGCTCTTCCCGCAGCCCGGGTGCCCGCAGGTGTGTGCCGCTTGCCTCTTTCGTGCCAAAACTCGCCGGCTGCGCTTGGGCGGTGCGGCTCCCGGCGACAAGCCTGCATCTCCCGCGAGCGCTGTGGCCCCCAGTTCTGTGCCCACCGCACCGGGTCCCAGACAATTCAGGAAGGAAGGGGGCGCGGCGGGGCCCGCAGACGGCGCTGTGAGCCCGCGAAAGAGCTGAAAATGCCCTTGGTACTGTGGTGCGGGGTACAGGGCGGGGTACCCTGACAGCAGCCCATAGGGGGCGCTGGGGGCCGCGGGCACCGCCAGCCCAGCCCGCGGGAAGAAACCGCCGGCGGAGCCCGCTGGCGGATCGGAGAATGCTGGCTGTGCCTTGGGCGCGGATCCCGGGGCCAGGTCAGGGGCCACGAAGGGCTCAGGGGCTGGGGTTCGCGGGGCGGAGTGCGCCCAGCCCGAGTGCTCTTCGGAACCTAAAGACCCGGCCACCAACCCTGGGCCACCTGCATAGACGCCCAGAGCCTCGGGCGGTGCGTACTGTGCCCCCGGGCCCCCGCTGGGCGCCAGAGCACAGGTCCGGGGAGTGGCTGGCGGCTCGGGACCTGGGAAGTTGGTAAGGAAAAGATCCGGATCCCAGGCACAGGTCACATCCCGCTCATCGTCCTCGTCCTGTCCGGGAGGGGCCTGCGATTTCACACTCACGTGAAGGGATGGCCCCATGAGATCCGGGGGACCCGGGCCCAAATCCTGTGTCTCGTCAGGGTGCCACCACTGCGGGAGGGAGCGCACTGCTTGAATGGTAGGCACCCGGTACCTGGGCCTGATGCAGGCCCGGCTGGAAACACCGTTGGGGCAGGTTGGTTTGAGGGGTTTGCATGCCTATCACTTCCCCGACACTGTTCCCCTAACCCCCTTCTCAGCTCCAGACAAGCCCATTAGGTCTGGCTAGACATAGATAAGACACTTACCACGAAGAGCATTCAGGATGGGGGAAAGGGTTGCAGAGTTCAGAACGGGAGGCAAAGGGACAGCCTTGGCTCCGTTTCCCCTAGCCTTCCTTCTCTGCCTTTTCACATCTCCCAACAAGATTAAATCTCAAAGTCTGGAAATCCCAGGACACACCTATCTGGGACTTTGTCTCTCTGAGCCTAGACTCTTAAGGCATTGAGCTCAGAACTCAGCTTCCAATTACAGAAATGGGCCTCATCTTGATCTCAGACCCCTAGAACAGCACCCTAGCCAGGCTCAGGCAACCCTCCCCCCCCCCCAAAAAAAAAAAAAAAACCTCAAGCAGAGGAGGATACTAAAGTAAGAGGGAAGCCCAGCCCCCAAGCACTCTGCCCTAGGTCACAGCAAGACCACCTGCCCCCCATTGGCCCCACCTTGAGGAAGTCCTCTTGGGGGTCCAGGAACTGGCCCAGGGTGGTCAGTGTACTGATGGAGGGTAAGGCAGTCTCAGCTGCGGCCATGGCTGGCTGGTGTCCACCCTGGGCCTCAGGCCTCTTCTCCCTCTTCTGCCTCATGGGCTATGAGGCTTGGAGGGCTCCTTGGAGAGCTCCTGTCTGCCCTCGTCTGATTGGCTGTCTTCCCTGATAAGAAAGGCAGGCAAGGCAGGGTGGTGGTGGTGATGTGTGTGTGTCACTTTCAAGGGGACAGACCTCACTTTGGCCTTTTTGGGAACTGGTCCCTGAAAACCAATCCTGTATGTAAACTAAGTCAGAAGTCAAAGTGAGGGGCTCCAAAGTTTTGGGGTTCAGGTGAACAGTAAGAGCCTGATTCCCACTCACCCCCCAGAGAAATGAGAGGCCTCTCTGGCCTGGTCTCAGCTCTCTCCTTGGGGAAGGTGTGCACCAGGAAGGACAGATTTCTTGGGAAGGATCTTGGGAGTCTTTGACCCCCCTCTGGGATACTACACCCCTTTGCCCTCCCCAACAGGCAGCACCAACGGTGCTAATGGCGGGACTTGGCACCAGCTCTCTCTCAGGCATTATCAGAGAAAGCAGATGTTTTCCAGTGCTATCAGGTAGGGGGCCCAGAGCAGCCATAGCTCTATCCCGCCTAGAGCAGAAGGGATGGGGGTGGGGCCACACATTATCTTGGCTTTGAATTGCTTGAGTTGTGTTTGGTCTGAGCCATTTAGCAAGAGGAAGCCCCCCAAATCAATCCACCCTTGGACACTGAGGACCCTCACTGGATGCTCACTGGAGCTGAAGGGAGTGGTTATGAACCCTGCAGTGTGGTAGGGTCCTCTGAGTGGGATAGAACCATTAGATGAAGCCACAGTCAGTATGCCACTCAAGAGACCTCGATCCTGACTGGGCCCAGCTGCTGGTTGGTTTATGGCTCCCATGGTGGAGGGCCGGCAATTCTCATACCTCCATTCTTTTACCATATGGTCACACATACACCATCATGCTTGGTATCCCCAAGGGACATCAGATCCACTAGGAAATGGCATCTAGCTAGGCATGATAGCACACGCCTTTAATTCCAGCACTGGGGAGGCAGAGGCAGGCTGACCTCTGTGAGTTTGAGGCCAGCCTGGTCTACAGAGCTAGTTCTAAAACAGCCAAAGCTACACAAAGAAACCCTGTCTCAAAAATCCAACAATAATAATAAAATAAATGAAAGCACACATGTGCACTGAGTCCACACATCCATTTATATACTTTAGTAATACTGGGTTTTTGGTGTTTGTTTGTTTGTTTTTGAGACAGGGTTTCTCTGTGTTAACAGCCCTGGCTGTCCTGGAGCTCACTTGGTAGCCCAGGCTGGCCTCGAACTCACAGAGATCCACCTGCCTCTACCTCCCGAGTGCTGGGATTAAAGTCGTGCGCCACCACTCTGAGCTAATATTGTTTTTTTGAGATAGGCCTCTGTGTCCCAGGCCTCTCTGTTGTAGCACACTCTACTTGGTGCACAACAAGTATTATCAGCCTCAAGCTTGGAACTTGTGACCTTCCTTCACAGAGGGAGGAAATTCTGCTGTTGGTGCCCAGACTGGGGTGAGTAAGTACTTGTTGACTTCTCAGGAAAAGTTCATGTAAGAAGCTCACTGTGTAGCCAGGCTAGCATAGAATTTATGATCCTGCCAGAGCCTCCTTAAGTAGGTAAGAGCCACCACAGCCTGCTTTCCCATACACCTGTAAGTCATCTGCAGATTAATTACAACACCTGACACGTTGGAAGTGTTAGATAAATGGTTCTTCTGTTGGTCTTGGCTTTGTCTAATAGTTGATGGTGCATCAGGTGAGCCTGCAGCAGAATTCATAATGACAGTGACTGTTGGGAAGGCATCACACAGCTATGCATCTCCACTTATAGTCTGGCCACGCCAAGCAGACTCATGCGAATTCTCAAATGGTGTCACTACAATTATTAAATTTATTAAATGATTAAAGTCATATAACCCCATGAAACAGAGACAGCCTCAGACACAAAAAGAAACATGAAGGTTTCAGATATGGCTCAGTTAATAGAATGGTTGCTGCCTGTGGAATGTTCCTTTACACTGTGTGAATATATGTTGCTGTGATTGGTTAAATAAAGAAAATGCTGGGAAGGAGAAGGGTGGAGTCTGGAGTCGCCAGCAGACACAAAGAGAAGCAAAATGGACATGTCATACTGAGAAAAGGTACCAAGCCATGTGGCAAAGCATAGATAAGAAATAAGGGTTAACATAAAATAGTAACAAGACTGAGCTATTGGCCAAGCATTTATAATTAATATTAAGCCTCTGTGTGTTTATTTGGGAGCTGCTGGCTGCACAGAAACTCCATCTACAGCTGACAACAATGAAGCCCTGGGTATCTTCAGTACTGAATAAATTGAGCATGTAATCCTAACACACAGGAGATGGCTGCAGGAGGGTCAAAAGTTCAAGATCAACCTCAGCTACATAGTGAGTTCAAGGCTAGCCTGAAATATATGAGACTTTCTCAAAAACAAACAAAAAACCAGCCATTCCACCCCTAGGTCTATCTCCCAGAGAATCAATAACAAGTACTGTTTAGCCACCAAGAGAAAGAGATGTCTGAATGTCCGTGGACAGGTAAATGGTAGACAAGAACACTCCCTGTACTCAGGGAGTAGTATCCAGAAATAAAAAAGAATGAAGTGTTGATGCATATGACAGGGACCTGGGCGTGTGGCACAGCTAGTAAAGTGCTTGCTGGTCATAAAGACCCAAGTTCAGGCTGGCAGGGGCGGGCACACCTTTAATCCCAGCACTCAGGAGGCAGAGGCAGGCGGATCTCTGTGACTTGGAGGCCAGTCTGGTCTACAGAGAAATTCAGATCCCTAGCACCCACATGAAAGCCAGATGTCACCAGTGTTAGGGAGCTGGAGACAGGAGGATCCCTGGAGCTTACTGGACAGCCAGTCTAGTCAATCAGTGAGCTCCAGTGTCAGACCCTGTAGCCATAAGTCCAACCTGGTCCTTTGATCCCTCAGCTGCTTCACAGCATACAGAAAGATCCCCCAGCAAGCCTTGTCAGCCGGGCATGGGGGCATATACCTTTACCCTTTAATCCCAGCACTCAGGAGACAGAGGAAGGTGGATCTCTGAGTTCAAGGCAAGCATGGTTTACAGAGTGAGTTCCAGGCTCCAAAGCTTCACAAAGAAACTTTGTCTCAAAATAACAAAAAAAAAAAAAAAAAAAACAAAACAAAAAAAAAACTGAGCCTTGTCCTGCAAATTGCACTCAAGTGCTGGTGCCTTGATGATCCTGGTTTCCTGTTCCAGTTCTGGCATTAATAAGGAGAGGGGATTTGGGTAACCTCTTTAATAAAACAAAACAACAACAACAAAACTAAAACTAAAACATGGTCAGTACTGCCAGATACATAGTAACAGAGAATACAAACTTACAATTAATTATGTAGACAAGAAAGAACCATCAAGAGGGCTGGAGGCAAGCCTGGAATGGTGGCAAATGCCTTTAATCCCTGTATTTGGGAGGTGGACACAGGCAGATCTGTGAGTTCCAGCCTGGTCTAAAGAGGGAGTTCCAGGACAGCCAGGGCTACACAGAGAAACTCTGGGCAGTGGGAAAGCAGGGAGGCTGGAGGCCTCTGAGGTTAAGAACACTTGCCACAGCAACACCCAGATCCAGGAAAGTCATAAGCTGACACCACCCAGGGATGGGGAAGTACCTAACATCCCAAACATTCCAACCATTAGATAAGGTAGCCAAATATCCCTGAGTATAGCACACACCTATTTTTGTTTTACAGATACCCCTAGACAAATGTCAGCCAATCAGGGTTCCGAATCCTGGAAATCTCCTCACCCCAACCTCTGCTATAATAAAAACACTATCCTGCCTGGGCTCTGGGCTCTCTGATCTCACCTCTGCATTGGACAGACCGAGGGATCAAACTCAGAGTTTGAAAATAAAGGCTCTTTGATTTTACATAGGGGGTGGGGGGGAAGAACACTTGCACTTTAGCAGAGGATTGGAAGCATCCATCCACATGGGGGCGCAAGCCATCTGTAACTACAGTTCCAGGGGATACAGCCTTCTGGTTTCAGCAAGCAACAGGCACACGCAACATGTGCACATACATACATGCAAGCAAAACACACACATACATTTTTCTTTCTTTTTCCCTTTTCTTTATTTCTTTTTTCTTTTTTCTTTCTTTTTTTTTTTGTCAAGACAAGGTTTCTCTGTGTAGCCTTGGCTGTCCTGGAACTCACTCTGTAGACCAGGCTGGCCTCTTCCACCACACCCCTCTACCTCCACACCCAGCTATAAAGTAATCTTTTAAGAAATGTTTTAGGGGTTGGGGATTTAGCTCAGTGGTAGAGCGCTTGCCTAGCAAGCACAAGGTCCTGGGTTTGATCCTCAGCTCTGGAAAAAAAAAAAAGAAATGTTTTAAACTTCATAGACTGCGCTGAGATTGCAGTTCACTGGTAGGATGCCTGCTACACCTGTTCAAGGTGCTGAGTTTGACTTCCAAGATGGAAAGAAGGGAGGGAGGAAGGAGGAAAGGTGTCACAAATACTTCCATTCACAGAGTTTACATCTGTACACAGCCACTCACAGTCAACAGAGACCTAGAAACAGTCACAACTCAGCACTGCCAGAGAAGACTCCTTGAACATGGGTTTAAACCAATAGGAAGTCTTTATTAGCGGAGTTTCAGGATCCCACTGTGGCCCTGAGCCTTTCTCAGGGTGAGCTTCTAAACACAAAAACCATATCCTGGCTTGACGTACTTCAGTTAACAAAAACAGGAGCCAAAAAACAAGGTTAGTTTATTTAGAGAAGAACTGTGCACTTTGATGGATTGGGTCTTTGTGTTAATTTTTGGCAGGTGGTGTTGCCTATGTGCTGGGTTTATGTTATGTCTAAGTGCCTGAATGGTACTGCCATCATGGAGTCAGTTGTGCGAAGGCCTGAGGGTCTGCTCCAGGTTGGGGCTGTAAACCAATGAGGAAGTGCCTGTTTAGTATTTGGCAGGCCTTGAAGTTCGATGCACAGTACTGGTAGAAAAAAGAGGGCCACTGGAATAGCTTAGCAGGTAAAGA